AAAAAAAAAAAAAAAAAAAAAATCAGCTCACGGGTCCTGAAAAGGTAGGTCTAGAATTCTTTTCTTTTTTCCCTTTTTTTTGTTGCCCAAGGGAGGGGTCAGTACCAATGACCCCTTCCCCAGATCCGCCAATATAAATTGCGAGAAAATGTAACTCGGTCGGGTACTGGATAAACATTCTCTTTCCCATCCTTCTTCCCTCCTTCTTTTTTTGCATTTCCGATCATACAAAAATCTCCACACATTATATATTTTTCGCCAAAAAGTGCTTCCCCCGCTTCCGTCGGCCATGAAGGCCAAGGGATTCCATCCAACTCAACAATGCCTAAATGCTACTAGGACCTACGTATTGTACTGGCTAAAGGCCTATCCACCTCTTGCCTATCGTTGAGTTACAAATCTTAAGAATCTATCATCATTGTATAATTGCAAAAAAAAAAAAACACACACAATTGATAAGCACATTGCGACGTATTGATTGTTTTCTATTTGGTGCTTTAAATGGAATTCAGACTAGGGTCGTAGCGGCCGCGAGTCTACTTGTCAACAAATTTATAGATAGTAAATAAATAAAAATGAATAAGTAATCATGATGTGTGAATGCTTGAAAAGTGACGTCGAGAGGGGGTCAGGGGGGTCGCTGCCCCGGGGCCCGGATCTACTGGGAAGACCGGACGAAGATGAGGTGTGAGGTGTTGTCCCCGGGGCCCTTACTGGCTCTCGACGCCACTGTGCTTGCATTTGTTGCCGAGTGTGATCGCGTGTAGTTTTTAAAATGAAACAGTACATGTATTTCTTTTATTTATTTATTTTTTTGCGGATTGGGCTTTCCATACGTTTCGAGAAATAATTTTTTCAACCACAAACGCGGTAAACTCGATTTGTCACCGTTATCGTCGAGGCGAGAACTTGATAGAATTCGTCACCTGGGAGGCCTAGCCTAGGCCTAGTGGACAAACACGGAAATTCAAGAATCCATGGTAATTATTAGTGTTTAAAAGGTCTAGCCAGCCAGTATACCTGATCCACTAGTAATTCATGTTCATTCAAAAATGAATGGCGACCGTGCTGATCCCCTGTGTTGTTTGCGTGGCTCTCCCAGTCAGTCTCGGCTACTAGGTAGGCCTAGGCCTAGGCTAGGGCCTAGCCTAGGCCTATATTAGCCTAGGCCTAGGCTGGTAGTCAGATCGCATACCTAGGCCTAGGCCTAGGCTCAATAACTATTACACGTACTGAATTATCGTTCCGACAAAATCAGATCAGAAGGTGACAAATTGTCAATTTGTTAGCTCAAAATAAGAAGTAGCTACAGTAGTAGTAATTCGTAAATTTAACTTGCACAAGGAAGGAACCTGTTGTTCGCAAAAGTGGATCTTTTTCCGCATGAATTTGCATCCTATGCGCTTGAAGTAAATTCTGATCAAATCTGCTAGAAATGGCATTTGCTTGAAGTGGCATCCGCTCGAATTGACGGGTTCCCTTATTAGACCCATGCTCATTGTTACAGATAAATAGATAATTCTGGCATAAAACACATTTGATTCGATTTGATGTTTCAAATGATTATGTTTGTGGTTTCATGATTTTATGTATTGCAATGCGCCTATGAGGAAATGTTTTTTGGATATGCGGTGCAATATAAATGCTTTTTATTATTTCATGTATTATTATTACAGTATTATTATTATTATTAAATTATTATTGTTATTGCTAAATTGTTATTATTGTTACTGTAATTTCGTAGATTTTTATTTTTTTGTCTAATGCTAACATGATTAATGTGAATTTCATCCATGTAACTTTCATATTTTAACCAGCATTCTGATTTCCAATGCATTTCTCCTATAC